ATCTTTGGGTCTGTCCGCTGAACAGATCCGTTTAGAAAAGATGGGCCTCCCACAGGATGTGGTGCGTACGTTCAGGGTGCATAAGCTGCTTCCACCACAAAGCTGCACACATCAAGTGGACAGTTTTTTTTAGCGCTGGTGCACAGAGAAAGGCGTGGAGGCCATTTCATGGCCACTAGGTGGCATGCTGTCTTTTCTGTAGCAGCTGATGGACAGAGATCTGGCGTTCAGCACAATTAAAACTTATGCTGCAGCTATTTCTTCCTGTCACGAGGTCTTCGGTGACAAAACAGTTCTTAATCACCCGTTGATGAAGCGTTTCCTGACAGGTGTACGGAGACACAGACCGGTGTCACATCCACTAGCTTCACAGTGAGACCTAACAATGGTCCTGCATGCTCTGATCAAAGCTCATTCTGAGTTTCTGGATCAGGTTTTACTTAAATTTATGTAATTTAAAACAGCCCTGCTGTTAGTTTCTGACGTCGGCAAAAGAGAGTGAGTGTTTGTTTGCTCTCTCTGTTACTCCCTCATGTCTCAGAATTCAAGCTGACGGCAGTTCAGCTGTACTGCGTTTTAACCCTGCTCTGAAAAGCATCACAAGCTCATTCAGATCGAGAGTGATAACCTTGGATGGGTTTTATCCTCTTCCTCATAACTCTGAAGAGGAAGCAACATCACACCTCCTTCTGTCCCATGCGCCCATTTTTCATGTTACGTGGTGCACACGGCCGCACTGCGCCGCTTTCAGCGTATATTCGTGAATTACTGGGACAGCTCTTCAGGACGTCCTCTATCCACCCAGCGCCTCTCACACTGGTTGTGTGAGGCTATTTCTGAAGTTTACATTTCATCTGGACTGGATCCTCCAACAGAGGGTTTTCATCCTCCATGGCTCTTCATGGAGGGATGACAGTGGAGAATATTTGTATGGCGGCTGCCTGGTCATCGCCATGTTCAATTATTTGTTTTTATCTAGGTGATGTTTCTACTTTCTCCATGACCCATTCTGTTCTCAGGGTTCTGTCAGAATGATTATTATTTGTTTCATGGATCCTCACTTTTGAGCTCACACCTGCCTGCATGCAGTCACAGTGTGAGATATTTATTATTAGTCACAAGTTCATGACTGCTGATTTTATTGTTATTAACCGGTTCATCCTGAGGAGCTGTTGGTCTGCTCTGTTCATCGTTACACTGTTACAATTCGTATCCTCTGTTGTTCCTAGTCACAGCAGCAGGTCTGCTATCTCAACCTTTTTTTCCTCACCAGAGATCTTCTCCGGTGCGCTCCTGCGCATGGAGCACGCAATTACGCATTGCGTAATTACGCGCACAGAAAGCTGAGTGATGAAATGTTGTTTGTGCAAGCAGGTGCTTCATGTTGTGTCTGAGTGGACCCAGTGAGGCATAGACTACATCCTGCTTTGCCTTTAACCCACTAGCGAAAGTCTTAAAGGGCGAAGCCTATACGGAATAGAACGTTGGTTACATACTGTAACCCCAGATTCTATGAGTATAGGCGTAGCTCTTTAAGCTCTGGGCCTCACTGGTTCCTAAATGGCTGAAGAAAAAAGCTATTTTGGGACCCGATTACCCGGTCTTGCCGTAATTTATACGGACAGGGGGTGAGGCCCACACACAGCAGGTGGGCGTGGACTAAACTTTTTTTCAGTGCAGCGCTGAGCGCATATAGGGATAAACCCACTAGCAAAAGTCTTAAAGGGTTACGCCTATACTCATAGAACCTGGGGTTACAGTACGTAACCAACGTTTGCTGCTGACAACCAAAACTTAGTCCTCAATATATAGCAGTGGGCGTTAGACACTGATGTGTCACTGGTTTGCAACTGTTCTTTTGACCTGGAAATTATTTGTTCTCCTGATTGGTTGAAGCAACCAACTGGGGTGTAGTTCTAGTGATGTCAAAGGGTTTTTACAAGTCAAGAAAACAACAAGAACGTTTTAGGAACAGACAGAGAAATGTTTTGGCGAAGTGAGAAACACTGCAGGTGCCAGTTTTCTTATTTACTGTCTGAGAGTTTTAAAAACACGACAGCCCGTTCTAACAACTTGTTTTTGACTGTCTCTGACTTTTGACCGACATCACTCTTTCTCATTTCAGACAGAAGATCAAAATGCATAATTACTTTGTAAAATAGACATTTAACTTGATTTCTAATTTAAATGAGGATTAAAAAATCATTAATACTGTTTCACAGTTGATTTAAAATGAGAGGTTCACTTCAACATTTAAAAATGGTATGAACTAAACACACTTTTGATTTATCAAGATATTGTAAAACAGTGATGATAATATAAAAGAAGAGTGTTCTTTCAATTGATTAGTTCAGTATACAATTAGACAGTCTCTGGATGAGCTAATTTGTATTTCTGGATTCAAATAAATGAAATAACAGTTCCTGTCCCATGAAGGTCTTCAGAGGCAGGTTTTGGTCGGAGGCCTAGTCCACTACACAGATTAAAAAACACTAAATCAATTTACACTGTGTGAAATGCCTGAGAGAACAGATGTGTTTTAAGCAGAGATTTGAAGTGAGGAAGGGAGGTGGCCTGCCTGATGTTGGGGGGCAGGTTGGTCTAGAGTTTGGGGCCCATGACTGAAAAAGCCCGATCTCCTCTGAGCTTCAGTCTTGTTTTTGGAACAGCCAAAAGCAGCTGATCAGATGATCTCAAGGCCCGAGAGGGAACGTAAGGTTCCAGAAGCTCAGAGAGGTAAAGGGGTGCGAGGCCATTTAGGCATTTGAAGGTCAACAGAAGAATTTTAAAAACTATCCTCGTACGAACAGGGAGCCAGTGAAGGGAGGACAGAACTGGTGTAATATGTTCAGACCTACGAGTTCCGGTTAAAAGCCCAGCTGCAGCATTCTGGACGAGCTGAAGACGTGAGATGGAGGCCTGGCTGATCCCAGCATACAGTGCGTTGCATCGGGTCGTGACAAAGGCGTGGACTAGTTTCTCAAGGTCGGGTCTGGACAACACTGGCTTGAGCTTAGCTACCTGTCTTTGTTGGAAGAAGCTTTTCTGCAGAACAGAGTTGATTTGTTTGTCAAACTTGAAGTCAGAGTCTAAAACCATCCCAAGATTTTTACCAGACTGCTTCAGATATGGCTGAAGAGAGTCCAGGTTGACAGGATCAGTGGTGGCAGTTGAACTAGGGCTAAAAACAATGACTTCAGCTTTGTCATTGTTAAAACTTAAGAAATTTGAAGCCATCCAGGCCTTAATGTCGTCCAGACATTTTAACAGAGGGTGAATGGAGCAAACACTTGCTGGTTTCACAGGCAGGTAGATCTGGCAGTCATCAGCATAGCAATGGAATGAAAGACCATGTTTCCTCAGGATGGACCCCAGTGGGAGCAAATAAAGTGAGAACAGAAGGGGTCCAAGAATCGAACCCTGTGGGACCCCACATGAAAGAGGTAATGAGGCGGATACATTGTTACCAACCTTGACACAGAAACTCCTGCCACTCAGGTATGAGTGGAACCATTCTAATGCAGCACCTGTGATCCCAACCCACTGTTCCAGCCGTGATATAAGGATACTGTGGTTAACAGTATCAAAAGCAGCAGTAAGGTCCAGGAGCACAAGTACCACAAATTGACCAGAATCGTTTGAGATCACAATGTCATTACAAACCCTTACTACTTCTGTTTCAGTGCTGTGGAGTTGCTTAAAACCAGATTGAAAAATTTCAAAGATTCTGTTCTCATTCAAAAACTTGTTTAATTGAATGAAAACTATTTTCTCCAGGATTTTGGACAGGAAGGGAAGTTTTGAGATTGGTCTGAAATTTGAGCAAGTCGAAGGGTCAAGTCCAGGTTTCTTAATTAACGGATGAACTACTGCACGTTTGAAAACATCGGGAACCACACTTGTCACAATATTACTATTTGCAATAGTAAGAACAGAGGGTCCAATCGTGGGTAGAACTTGTTTGAAAAACGACGCAGGAATGGGGTCAGCGGGGGAACCGGAGGGTTTCATCTGACCAACAACTTTGTTGTTGAACACAGACAAGACAGGCTCTACAGCAATGTGGATATCCTAACTGGGCCTTCCTGAATGCAGAGAAGAAACCCAAACAGGACTCCAGTCAGCCATTAGGTGAAAAGGAGGAACGCAGACCAGTGGTCATTCTGTATGTTGAGGGAGTATAAGAGAAACTGAGATGTTTATTTTCTAAACACAACGTCCCAGTGGCTTTTAAACCCCAAAATACATTACGGCAAAGACTGGTTCATCCCAAAGATCCAGTCCCCCGGCACAAACAGAGTAATATTGTGTATGCTGTTCAGTGTCAGGAGGGCTGTGATCAGTCTTACATCGGGGAAACTAAACAGCCACTGGCCAAAAGGATGACCCAGCACAGAAGAGCAACAACATCAGGCCAGGACTCTGCGGTCTACACTCATCTCCAGGCCAGCGGTCACTCTTTCAGGGATGAAGATGTTCACATCCTGGACAGAGAGGAACGATGGTTTGAGAGAGGAGTAAAGGAGGCCATCTTTGTGAAAAGAACTTGTCCATCATTAAACAGGGGTGGAGGCCTCCGTGTTCAACTGTCCCCCTCTTACAATGCTGTGATTGCTAGTATCACTCAGCACTCTGTGAATAGTAAACAGCCATCAGTGTGCTAATGATCCATTGTTAGGCTGATGGTCCTTCTTGATCATGTGAGCAGCTGATTTTGGTTGTCAGCGGCAAACTGGTTGATCCACTCTGAGAAGGTTCTATTTATAAGACTGAGCTGAATACAGCACCTCAGACTGAGGAAGTCTTCCGGATGAAAGACGAAACATTTCTACATTTTTTTGTTGTTTTATTTATTTATTTTTTTTTTTTGAATGTCCAGAGGACCAGAATTAACTTTTTTGGACTTATTTATAACAATTCCCAAAATAAATGCACATCAAAGCAATATGGATCTCAGTATTTGACAGTAAGTTTGAAGTACTTGAAGGTGCAATACATACCAGGCTGCCCAGTGGTGTTGAGGCGAGTCATCAGGTGACGTACGCAGGGCTTGTGCATGTGAACATCTGACAGCACCGTGTCATAATGAAAAGTGATCTCATCCATGGATGCTAAGGTTTACGTTCAGAACAGCTGATCAGACAAACTGCTTCCCACCACCTGAAAAGACAGCACATATGCTGAAAATTAAACCCCTCAAACCATCAAATGTTTTTGAAAAATAATTATATCAGATAATATATGAACTTAATGAAATATCTAGATATATGTATCCCGTTTTGTTATTTAGAATGATATTGTGTTAAAACACGATCTGATTCTGTTTCCGGTTGAAATTGTAGTTTTAGTTACAAGCCTACAACTCCCAAACAATCACGCACCCACCCATTATAGAACACAAGATGACGAGATATTATTGGTTGAGAGCTGGGTCACATGATTGAGTAGGGCTTCCCATTCATCTATGGTGGTGACTCCTCCTGAGAGGTGTGGCCGAGCTCTGAAGAAGATGGGTTTTCTGTTTACACTCGGGGCCAATGTTTGCGACCGATGGTGGAGTTACAATTGCCCAGGGCTGGTGATCTTGTACTTTACATGTGGGTAAAATAAACCATCTGAAAATGGAAGACAAGTGCTCTTCCTCTCCCTGCTTCAGATCAAGAACACAATCTTACAATGTGGTGACCCCAGACGTTGGTTCTAGTAGCAGGAACAGAAGAGAGGAGGTATCCTGATGCATGCTCAATAATCCAGGTAGAAAAATCCAAAAAAGTTCAATCTGGTCCTCTGGACATTCAAAAAAACAAAA